CGGGCCTGGCAGGGCTGGCCTTGTACTGACCGAGGCCTGTTTCTTCATCTGCACAATGGGCCTGCTCCCCCTTTAGGACCTGCGAAGCGGCTCACATACAACGCCAGCCTCACACACACAGCGCTGGCACGCTTGGTGCCTCTCAAAGTGAGACCTGCTTTGGGAGACGAGGGTACCGCTGCACCCGGCACCCCCAAGCCCCCCAGATGGGGCTTGAGGGAGGACTTCATCCCCCACAGGGGCTGTTTAGAAATGGTCTCTCTGCCAAGGACTCAAAGAGCCCTGCTGCCCGCTTCTCTCCCTTGGCCCCATCAGGGCCGGGGCTTGCTGAGCCTCTGCCTGCCGAGACCAGCTGAGCAGCGGCCAGCTGTCTGTCCCTGAGTTGCTGCTCAGGGGACATCCAGCTTGGGACCTGGGCAGGCTCCGGCAAAGGTCCAGGAGAACAGGGTGGTTATGCCTGGGCAGCCCCGCTCTCGCCCTGCCTACTCTCAGGCTCTGGGTGAGGCAGCTGCAGGGAAGGAGGCAGAGAGGGCGGGGGCAGAGGGAGAAGCCTGAGCCAGGGGAGATGGCAGAGGGGGCGCGGCTGGGGTGAGGGGAACAGCAGAGCTCAGCCCTGTTAGACGCGCCCCAGAACTGGGGCAGAAGGCAAAGGCTGGCGGCAAGTCCTTTTAGTACCACAGTGACAGCGAGCGCTTCCTCCAGGCCGCCCAGGAGGCTTGGCTGTCCCAGAGAGTGGGCCTAGCTGTGACATCACTGTCAGCCACTGGCTAAAGTGGGACTCTGGGTGGACTGGTGGACTTCTGGCCAAGGCTGTGCTCACTGCCTGCGGGACACTGATCTGTCTGTACCTAACCCAGCAGGTTGTTCTGCCCCTCCCATCCCGAACACGGATAAGTGCCCACGTGCTCAAGGGTTCCTCAGGCCGGTCTCACCGCCTCCCGGACCCCTTAGTGAGTCAAATACACCTCTGACTCACGTTCGTTTGCACGAGGCTCACACGTCTCACTTTCTGAAATACATACTGATGCTTGGGCAGTCTAGACTGGCCACACCCCACTGGTCCTCATGTCCTGTTGATGCTTTTCTGCACCCTCTCTTCACTCCGCTGCCTTCCGCCCTGGCCCCCAGCCCATCCTCCCTGGGGCCCTACTCGGTCACTCTGCCCGTGCTAGCAGCGACTATCTACACTCGTCCCCATGCTGCCGCCATCGCAGGTAACACCCTGCCTGTCACAGCCCCGGCCTTGGTGAAATCCACGGAGGCTCAGGGAACAAAGACGTGTGACTAAGCTTGGAGAACAGAGCAGATCTTTCCCCCTGGGCTGGCTTCCTCTGGTTTCTGGGATGCTCCTAACTGATACCTAATGTCTCTCCTGGACCCCCCAAGTGGCCCCCTCCTGGAGTGCACCGTGTGGGCTTCCCCTTTGAAGATTTAGAGATTAGGGGAGGCTTCCACCAGACTTTGGCCCAGGCAGGAAAGCCTAGTCCCACCCTGGCGGAACCAACGTGGACTGAGTCCATGCCAGGTTTGGGGACTGGGAAGGGGCTGGCTGACAGCAGGAGGTGGAGTGTGCGGCAGCGGAGGGGACCCTGCTGAGGCGGACAGTGGGTGTCCACATGACCCCCATCTTGGTGGGGAGCGGAGGGTGGGTGCGATGCTCAGTCTTCTCAGCCCACTGTGAAGTGGGAGTCTAACAGCGTTCTTTTCTTATAGACAAGGAGAAGGTCAGAGGAGGGCAGTGACGTGCCTGAGCTCATGAAAGACAGAGCCGAGGGGCCAGCGGGTGCTGTGGTGGGTAAGGCACTGGATTCCCACATGGCCGACTGCAGTTCCAGTCTCGGACCTGGCAGCTTGTTTTCTCACTTGCCCTCTCTCTTTCTGTCTCTTTCTGGTGAGCATATGTACCCTATGGCAAATTGAAAAATACTAATAATAACAATGATAAATAAAGTTAAATACATAATTCTTAAAAAAAAAAAAAAACGGCAGAGACCTCTGGGTCTCTGAGCCAAATCACTCTGTCACCCAAAGAGAAAGAAGGGCCAGTGAGCCGAGCAGCAGCCTGAGGCACCTACACAGCCGGGAAGAGCCTGGAATGCAGAGGCTTGTCTACCCGCCCTCCCCGGGGGAGCTGTCTGCAGGCCTCACAGTACACATGACTTGGTAAATTACCTGGGGAGGGGAAGGTCTTCCCAAAACTGCCTTTGAAGGAGCAGGGTCTGGGGAGCTGGAGGGATTTCATTCTGCAGAGTGTCGCATGCAAATCTGGGGCCAGATCTGAACTGCCAAACTGCAGGGCTGAGGTCTGCCTCCAGGGCGCGCCTGTCCACCCCTTGCAGTCCAGGGCTCAGCCTCCTCTATAACTGTCTAAGGGTCAGAAGATGCCAATGCATTAGCCTAATTGAGCCTTCATGACTCGGTTTACCCTCTGACCCGATCAAGGTGAAGGCAGGCATTTCCAGCTTTGGTAGGGGTTTGGGTGCCCTGCCAGTCTCTGGATGCAGTATTCAGTCTGCTGAGATACACCCCGCAGCTCTAGCCAATCCCAGCCAAGGGAGAGGGACCCAATGGAGTGGCAGTGCCAAGGGGGTGTCTTTTCCCCACATGCCCCCATCCCTGGCACCCCTGAGCCTGGGCTTAGCTGCAAAGTGTCGTAGGGATTGTGGCATAGGCTGCCCCATCCCTAGGATGTGAGGGCAGTGACAAGGGGGACTGGCGAGGAGGCCTCTTTGTCCAGCTCCAATTTATTTTTTGTCTAAACTGCCCCGGGCTGAGACCCCAAGTGCTGTACACAGTGAACTGTGCGCAACCTTGATGCTTGGCAAAAAGTTGCATTCTCGATGCCAAATGTTGACACACTGAATTCAGTATCGACGAGGGACCTTTTAGAAACATTCAGCATAACATAATAGACTAATTCATTAGCACCCCATGGGTCTGAATGGGGAGAAGCTGAAGCTCAGAAAACATCGCCTTAAGGAATGACAGATGAAAATATCTTTCCCATGATATAACTGTTATTGCCGGGAAGTGGCATTAATTGTGATTGCTTATCTATTAATTTATTATAATTCTTTTTTCACCTCCAGGCTTTTACCTACACATGACATGTACCAGGGGCTCAGCTGGGGCTGATTAACGCGAGGTTATCTGGGAATGGCTCAGAGCTGGCTGGAACAGATAATGGCAGCTGGGGTAATTAAAATGTCTTCTGCGTGGGAGAAGCAAATTTGGAGAAGTTTTTAGAGGCAGCGCTGGTGACGCTGGTGACGTGGGTTT